AAATCTTTAAAAAAAAAATTTTTTTTTTTTCACTCATTCAGTCATTTAACCAGTGGCACCGACAGAGTACCTACTGCATGCCAGTATGGTTCTGGGGAGTGGTTCTGGGGATGGTTCTGGGGATAAGGGAATGAACAGCATTGACGAGGTCCCGGTTCTAACCTTATGTTCTAAAGGGAGGAGGAGGGGCACCTGGGTGGCTCAGTCGTTGGGCGTCTGCCTTCGGCTCAGGTCATGGTCCCGGGGTCCTGGGATCGAGTACCACTCGGCAGGAAGCCTGCTTCTCCCTCTCCCACTCCCCCCTGCTTGTGTTCCCTCTCTCACTGTGTCTCTGTCAAATAAATAAATAAAATCCTAAAAATAAATAAATAAATAAAGGGAGGAGGGGATGGTGATAAAAAAAAAAAAAAAGTCCATAAATGATATTTCCACTGGGAAGCAGGGTCTTTGCAGATGTCATGAAGTTAAGATGAGGTCATGCTGCTTAGAGTGGTCCCTAATCCACTAACTGATGTCCTCGCAAGAAGAGGGAAACTTGAACACAGATACACACAGAGGCAAGGCCACGAAAAGACAGAGGACACTGGAGTGGTGCGGCCACAAGCCAAGAAACGCCAAGGGTGGCCAGCAACCAACAGAAGCTGGAGGAGGCAAGCGGTCTTCACTGGAGCCTTCTAAGGAAGCATAGCCCTGCCTACACCTTGACTTTCGACTTCTACCCTCCAGAATTGTGAGAGAATACCATTCTGTTGTTCCAAGCCATCAGGTCTGCAATACTTTGCTATGGCGGCCCTAGGAAAGGGGGCATTGCAAGAAGCTGGGACCACCGATGGGAGAAGCAACTAGCAGGACTCACTGCAGCTCCCCAACCCTGTAGCAGAGAGCATCTCAACTAAGGAGGCTGCCAAGTGACCGCCACGTCTCTCCTGGATGAGGAACTCCTCACCAGGGGTGCCAGTCTATCCAGGATTTGTGTCTGTCAGAAAGCACTTCTTGATTCTGGAACAGAAGTCTCTCCTTCATATTCAGTGGACAATAAATCTACCCACTGGCCCTCCGTCTACCATCAAGGACCACAGAAAACAAGCACTAGCCTTCATCTTCCTCACAGCAACTTTTTGCATTTTTTTAACGGAAAACTAACACATCCTCTTGAGATTTAGGTTATACCTGCCTATGTTGTTTTGGCCATTTTCTCTTGTGAGTCATTAATTCACTAGATGAACAGATTTAATGCTCCCAGCACTGCTAAAGGCACTGGGACGGAGCAGTCGGTAAAATGGATCCAAGTCCCTGCTTTAGTAGGGGAAGCAGAGAAACCAGAATCTACAAGTCATGTGTGTGCTACATCAGCTGATGACAGAGCTCAAAGAAGAAGCAGCCATGTCAGAGAGAGGTAGCACCTTCACAGTGTGGCCAAAGAAGGTGACCCTTGCATAAACATCTGAAGAGTTGAATGAAAAGCCATGTGGATTTTTAGGGCCTGAGCATTCCAGGCAGAGAGAGCAACAGGAAGGCCCCCAACAGTGGTCACGTCTGGAATGTTCCAGAAAGCATAAGGAAGCCAGTATGGCTGGAGCAGAGGCAGCAAGGAAGAGGAGCGCAGTGGGAAAGGAGGTCAGAGCCAAAACAGGGCCAGGGCATACACAGCCCTGGGTCAAGGTCAGGACTATGACTTTCATTCTTCTTCTT